AAAAAATATTAAAGTTACAAGGATAACTCACTTTTAAAAAACACCCTGTTTAGTGGTAAAATTATATTTGAAAATAACATTTTTATCGTATTAAAAATAATACAGAAAACATTTAATTTTTTAGTTTAAAGCTATATTTATGGTCTTCAAGTCTTCCTTCGAAAAGTGCTGATATGGCTCTATTTAAGAGGTTTACACTCCTTTGTGTCGTATGAAGTGCATTTAAGCGTAAACCTGCATCTCAACTTTTATAGAAGAGAGAGATAAACATTCTTAATTTTTTTTCTCTATCAAATATATGAAAAAATAAAACGACGTTACAATAAATGCGTTGAAACAAATTTTTTAAGTCTTTCTAAGTATCTGTATTATGTATGAAGTCTTTGATAGTGTGTCTGGTAACTTAATGTCAGTTTAATAATATTTTTTTGATTTTTGTGCTTAGGCGTAAAAGTGCTTTACTTTTATGCCTAGGCTTTAAAATGATCTTTTTATATTGTTAATCACGTCGCAAAAATTAATACTTTTATGAAGTTTCAAAATTTGGAAGATTTTTAAATTTTCTTCCTACCAAATGATATATAAAAGAATAAAACGACGTTACAATAGGCGTATATTTTTTCAGTTCTTCTATGTGTACCTATATTATACAGGGTGCTACAAATTCGAGGTACGAGCATTGGTACCTCAGAAAGCGTAATAGATACGAAGATGGTTAAATTGGGGCAAAGTTGAACCTTGGGATGTTCACTAAGATGCCATCAAATTGTTTTAAACATTTCCAGGATTGCTGAGTTTTTTGGAAAAAACGGATTTTTTTGGAAATCAATTTTATTTTTTCCTGCCGTTACTTTTTAGAAAATCAAAAAACTTTTTGCGCATTCTCACAGCCACTTTATTAGGGCTATCTGATAGTATTTTTATATTTTCAAATTAGCTGATAATTTGTGAGATACAGAGGCCAACTTAATTTTTTTAAATACGGACCTGCATTTTTTATTTTAGTTTTTGAAAGAAATTGGTCTCCTGAGTACAATGATATGTATTGTATATAAAATCCAGGTCAGCAATTTAAATATATTATTTTTAACTTTTTTTATTGTGAATTTTAAATCTCAGTGTACGATCTAATAATATTATAATATACATAATATTAATCGTAGTTATTATAAATAATTCAACTTTTACAAATTAGTTTCTAATACTCGAAAAATATTGATTTCACTTTTACAAATGACGTCAAGTAATGGTGTGCCCCTTGGCGACAGGTTTAAGAACATCTCTGTCCATTATACTGCTCTACCGTTTCCAATCCATCTTCCGAAGAAATTATTTGATTGTTTATTTTATATTATATTTTTATATTATTTATTTTATATTATTTTTATTGCATTTTTCGTATTCAATATCAAATATAATTCATTAGTGTAAATGAATTGTGTTCAAATATTTTAAACAAAAAAAAGTATTAAGTGTGGCATATCATTGTACTCAGAAGAGCGACTTCTTTCAAAAACTGAAATAAATAATGCAGGTGAGTATTTAAAAAAAATAAGTTGGCCTCTGTATCTCACAAATTATCAGCTAATTTGAAAATCTAAAAATACTGTCAGATAGACCTAATAAAGTGGTTATGAGAATGTGCAAAGAGTTTTTTGATTTTCTAAAATGTAACGACAGAAAAAAATAAAATTGATTTTCAAAAAAATCCGTTATATCCAAAAAAACTCAGCAATCCTTGAAATGTTTAAAACATTTTTATGGCATCTTGGTGAACATCCCAAGGCGCAACTTTGCCCCAAATTAAACATCCTTGTATCTATTACGGTTTCCGAAATACCAATGCTCGTACCTCGAATTTGTAGCACCTTGTATAAAGTCTTTAACAGCGTGTTCTGGTCGTGATTTATTTCAAGTCCATGTGAAGGGTACGATATAAAAAATTCCCAAAAAAATTTCCAATATCTAAAATAATGTATTATCCATAAAAAAATCGTTATAAATGAATCTTTAGTAATTCTCTTTATAGCTATTATTTGCAAATACTACTTTGTGCAAATAATTATTCCAAGTTAAAGTTGATTAACGTCTCAAAACCAAAAAAAAACATGAGTTCCATTTTTTTTTCAAAGTATTCAATTTAACAAAAAATACTAAGTTTCCATCATAATTTTCCAGGTATATTTTATACGAAATGGAGCAAAGAAAATACGAGAAAAGTTCTATAAACGTAAAAGTTGGGATGAGTTTAATTTTATTTATTTATGCTGTACTTCGACAACTTCAAACAAGTTTTCCGTCAGTGGAACTTTACATGCAAAACTACGAATGGTAGCATGCCAGGAAAAATGCATTAAAGCATAATAATTGGACCGAGATATAAAAAAAGAGCCACCTGCCAAACGGCTAAAAACAATTTGTCCTTAAGATATACTGGATTACAAAATATACAAAAACAGCATGCAAAACGTAAATAAAATTGTGTGTGCAGTATGTGCGTATATTTGAAGTGAAACTTCTTTTTACTTTCGTCGGTCTGTCCGTCCGTCTGAGGACTCCATTCAGGTACTTCTATCCACGTGGCGACTTTGGTTCCAATCGACCCATAATTAAGAAAAAATCCTGATGATTTCGTCCACTTAGAGGCATCGCATCGGTTCGAAACGTCTAGGGCGTCATCCTGTAGCCCGTCTCCAATTATGCCGAAATCGTCCCACATTTTTCTTCAATATCGAATCGTTAGTCCCATCCTGATGAAGATGTAAACGAAACGTCGCATCCAACTTTGCAGGGTTGGACCATGTGGCGCCGTCGTTCACATTGCCTACCCTCCAAATTTGGTCGCGATCGGAAGATATCAACTAATTGTCACAGTGACACGTTTCTTACACGGTTAAGTTAGACTTGCTCCAATCAATAGATTGGAGTACCAAACGTACCAAATTTCATTTAAATCGGAGGATTCTTTGGTTTGATTCATTGATGATGGGGTTTCGTAGTGCACGAAACTTCGTCAAAATATCATGAAAAGATGGGGCTCTGCGAGGCTCGTCTACATTCCGAGTTTCAGACCCCTAGTTCACATAGGGTCCGAGTTCTTCACCTAGGAGACGCAAGACCTTGTCGTTAGTGGAGAAACTCCTGGTCAGGTGCTGGGAGTAATCCCCCTAGCGACACTGGGAACATTACAAATGAAAGTTCCAAGGGACTACAACAACAGGACTACAAGAGGGGCGGCTGACACTTGCTTGGGATCATCTTCCACAAGTGGCACACAAGATACCTCCAGCAAGGGTCGGAAGCCTACCTCTAGACGCCATAAGTGACCTAAGCTGCCGTTTCGTCTATCCGGCCTGGGTCAACCAGGCGGGCTAGACATCCTCTGAGAGTAGGTCTTAGCGGAGCAGAAGCACGAAGATACCTCCGACTGCTCCACGAAGGACTTGCTCCAGAGGAAGCAAAAGCGAAAACACTCCTCCGAAAAGGGGAGCGTAATGAAATCAAGAAACAACCTGACTCATCTCAATCAAAGGGCAAGAGAGGGAGCGAGAACCTCTCACCTCTTCTCCGGCAGGGAGAGAAAAAAGCCAGGATGGAAAGCTCTACAACAGAGGTATGATGGGTTATAGACTGTGTAATGACTCAAGGATGGGGGCACAATAGATCTTTAAGGTCGCAGTGATTAACCCCCCTCTCACTCATTCTACATTCTACATTCTAGGGGCCGAGTTACGACACTCCAAAGACTCATTAAATCGGACGATTTTTGCGCTATTGATGATGTAGTTCATCTACGTTCCAAGTTTCAGCCCCCTAGCTCATATAGGTTACGACGATTCAGGATCGATACCATTCTTGTGACGCATGGCGACCTTGGCGTGACGCTTCGCGTAACGCTAGCTCGTGTGTCGCAGCGTTGAATTTTTACTCCCATCACGCGTAAAGAAATTTCAGTTCAAAAATATAAAATATTTTCATACTGAAAAAAATTCTTAATAAAAGGTGACCTTGGTTGTTCAAAAAAACATCTAGGTATATCAGGTATTCTATCTGAAATTTTAACTCCAAACTTCGTATTAAATAAGCGAGAAATGGTAGTGGCAAGCAATGTTTTTTTTTAAATATATCATTCATCATCGTCATCATCATTTTCAGCTTATTCAACATTTCCAGTTATGGTCTAACCTTCCTCACATATTTTAACGACAAAGAGATTATCTCTTTGTAGTTGGGCCCGTTGTTGCCTATTTTTAGCTATGCGAGTTCAAGTTATCTCTGCTAATTTCCTGATATCATGGTCCCATCTCAGGTTTGGTCTTTTTCTAGGTCCCCCTTAATTCCTTGTGGTAATGTGTAATTTTTGTGGTTCATCTGTTATCCGTCTTTCTTGCTAGGCGTCCTTCTCATTGCCACTTGAGGGATTTGATTCTGTGGATGACATCTATTACCTGGGTCTTCTGTCTCTTAGAAAAAAATGTGTTTATTTTTTTAGTTTGATGACCTGATTTTGAAGTTTGATGCCTTCTAACGGAGAAACTGAGCACTTTTGTTCAGAAGTAAATTGGGTCCAATGAACTTAATTTAATTCCAAAAATACGTACTAGTTTTATGTCCACGGAATATTGGGACACCCTGTATATCTGTAGCAGTGCATTGAGAATACTCCGTTGTTTTTTCTTAAATTTTTACTTTATGACGTATTACTTATTTACTTATGACGACCGAGGGGAGATATTCATACCTTTTGAATATTTTTTTTTCAATTTATTTCAGATGATTTTTATTCGGTATTTTTTTATAAAACAATATTTTGATACTTTTAGTTTTATGTTTCACTGACAAAATTATCAAAAACTTCCAAAACGGTTAAAATTTATCTCAATAAAGCGCGTTTTTCGGTGACCGTTTTCAGTTTCACCGTTTCCATAGCAACCCTGGATAGATCCCTCCAAACGTGCGACATGGGATTTCATCCAGAATTGCCATGCGCCTGGAAGATGGTATACTCTCTGACATAACGGGGAATTTATTGTTTTCATTCTCTTCTTGTAAATAAAATAATTTAAACATAACACCAGTGATTATTAAAGCAATATTAAAATGATTTTGCGGTGGACTTCTTGTTTTTGACAATTATTGATAAAATAACAAAATAAAAAAGAGTGAATTGTTAGAAATATGATTATCAGAACTGTAGTTAGTGCCGTATTGTTTTATTTATTATTAGGAAACACAGGTAAGCTAAATATTTTTATTGTAATTTTGAGTCATTTTATGTATTCTTTAAGTTATCAGAAAGTATAGAATGTAAACTGGACACGTTGATATTAATTTTGGCAATATCTTAACCTCCAAGCTGTAATCAGTTCAAAAAATTGTATAAAAATTATTAACAATCAGGAGTTTGTGTAGATTTTTAATATTTTGGGATAATCATTTTGCGGAGAAATTTTTGTTTTGATATAATACATATAATAATGATAAAATCAAAGTGAATTGTTAGAAATATGATAGTGCATGTTTTATTTGCTGCTTATTTTGCTGCTTATCAGCTATGTGCTATGCGTTTTATTTGCTGATTATCAGGAAACATATAGGTAAGCGAAATACTTTTATTGTCAATTTGAGTAATTTTATATATTCTTTAAAAAAAGTTATTAAAAAACTATATATTGTACATACTGATATTTCGTAATGAAAATATCTTGACCTCCAGAAAATTATGTTCCATTTACTGTATTTATCATTCTAAAACGCGCCATTTTTTAAGCTTTTTAGCCAATTCTTATTTTTTTAAACAATTTCATTTATTTGGCCAGATCTAAACAAAAATATGCTATCGACCTAAATTAATTGTAAATACGAATTTTTTAAATGAAGAAAAGCATGTGCGATTATTGGTTTAACTTTTCTTGGCCATACATTTTTGAGGATACGTTGACTGGTGAACGTTACTTACCGTTAAAAATTAAATTTAGAGACGCGCGCATCATTAGAGTGGTTCCAGTTGGAAGTCATGTAACTTCCAAGCCATGTGACCGGAATGGAAGTCATGTCACTTCCATTATGACGCTCCGCTTCATAATTAAAGAAATGTTAAAAATTATTTATATTATAATTAAGCAAACTCAGGGATAGGAAGAGGTGGACCCAATTGCATGGGCTACCTCGGTCACTTAACCTATCCGTTTTATATTTTTTTATGCGGTATGGTCAACAATATGGTTTATAAGAGAACAAAATAAAGAGAAGCACACGAAGAGGCGGTACGGGAGAAGTTTAATTAAGTCGATCGAAATAACTTAAAGTGTTTGTAGTGATAATAGTCTTTTAAGTTTTAATTTGTTTAATGTAAATTGTAAAAAAACGTTTAATAAAATATTCTTTCTTTTTATAAATTTTAAATCATAATAGAATGAGAATACAATGTCAACTAAGCGATAATAGTAAAAAAAATTTTGGCTATAACTCACTAATTTTTCGAAAAAAAAACATATTAGAGTTTATATCGCTGAAAAGCTATAAAAATGAGGTTTTTTATGTGGTCATGGCCTACTATGGTTTCCGTTTAAGAAAAAAAAAAACATATTTTGTCGTATGTCAAAAATGACAGGTTTAAGAAAATAAAAGGAGAACACAATCTCATTTAGGATGTGATTATCTACAACTATTGTCTGAAAACTTTTTGTCTAAAATAAGCTATAATGGATTACAGTTGAGAGTTGGAACCTTTGGTGTTACACAGCAAAATAAAAACACTAAATCACCACAATACACCAAAACACTTTTACTTTTACACTGGACGCGCGTTTCGCTAACCATGTTAGCATCATCAGCAGATGATTATAAACTAAAGTACAATCTACAAGTTGAGCGTTTATATACTCGCTCAGTGGGCACCGAGTGGGCGTGGCAAAATCTAGCCTACCGAGTCAGAGCCAACTGAGCGTAACAGTTAGATTTCCGCCACTAGAGTAGTAGGAACAAAGAACTTGAAGGAATTGGACCGTTGACTCTGTTCATACTATCTTTTAATAACAACTTTTTTGAACAGCGAGAAGGTACAGCAATGGGTAATCCATTGTCTCCATTTTTGGCTAATTTATTCATGAGCAGGTTTGAAGTGGAGGCTAAGAATCAGTTTGAGTATTTTCCAAGAGTATGGTTTAGGTATGTGGATGATATTTTTGCTGTTTTTGACACACATTCAGACACCATAGATAATTTTATTTCTAAGTTAAATAATCGTTTTCCTTCCATTAAATTTACGCATGAAATTGAGAACAACGACAGATTACCATTTCTAGATGTATGAGTTATTAGAAATATTAATAATTGCCTGGAATTTAATATCTATAGGAAAAATACGACCACACGCAGATATATTCCTAATGAATCACATCATAGTGTTGAACATAAAATGGCTAGTTTAAATTTCCTAGTTCATAGATAACTTAGTTTCCCACTTTCCAAAGAAAGATATGAAATAGAAAGAGATTACATTAGGAATGTAGCTGAGTGTAATGGATATTCTCCTTCACTAGTTGATAAATTAATTAGAAAACGTAGGTATAGGTTAATGATTTCTGAAAATTCGACTTTTCAAGTGGAGAAAGACACGTCTAAATATTTTTCGATGCCGTTTGATAGAGAGTTATCCCGTGGTCTAAAAGGAATTTTGAAGAATGTAAATTATAAACTTGTGTATAGTGCTAATAATAAATTACAACAATTATTAGGTAATCCAAAAGATAAAACACCTCCACTGGAAAGGTCGGGTATTTATGAAATTTCTTGTAAAGATTGTAATCAGAAATATGTTGGGCAAACTAGAAGATCAAAATTAATTAGATTTAAAGAACATTTAGCTCAGATAAGATATGGTAGACCGGATAAATCTTGCGTTGCCGAACATATTGTTGATAATGAAAGATCTTAATAATTTAAAATTAATTAAACAAGTCTCAAATTACAGGCAATTAGATGCATATGAAAGCATCAGAATTAATAAATGTAAAGATAGTATGAACATGATTTTGCCACGCCCACTCGGTGCCCACTGAGCGAGTATATAAACGCTCAACTTGTAGATTGTACTTTAGTTTATAATCATCTGCTGATGATGCTAACATGGTTAGCGAAACGCGCGTCCAGTGTAAAAGTAAAAGTGTTTTGGTGTATTGTGGTGATTTAGTGTTTTTATTTAGCTATAATGGAATTAAGGAGCATTTTTAAAATAGCAAAAATTTGTTTTTTTTTCGAAATATCTAGTAAACCATAAACTTTTTTAAAAATGCGAAAGGCGCATATTTGTACAGGGTGGGCCACTGAAAACTTACAATGGCTATAATTTTTAAACCAAAAAAGATATCAAAAAAATAAAAAATACCGTTTCTATAATATCGAGGGGGAATACATATGACATAATTTTTGAATCACCCCGACATACCCCTTACTTACTTCAAAATCTTAAATGGCAACACCCCACTTATGGCGCCTTTTTGGAAAGCCCATGAAAAATGCTTCATAAAGTTTTTAGGGTGAAATTGAAAAACTACCCCTTGCACGAAAAATTATGTGTACATTAATAAAAAAAGTGATTTTTTCAGCATAAGTTACAAACTGGGACCCAGCTAAATGAATCAAATGAGGTATTTTTCAAACCACCTCGACCCACCACTAGGTGCCATCCTCTCACTTCTAATGTCATCAATGCCATTTTGAAACCATTGCCATTTTGAAGCTAAAAATAAAAAATGTAGATAATAAAAAAGGCAACACAAAGATGTTTTGCTAATCGTTCAGCCTAATTTTGAGATAACGCAAATTCTTCCTTGTCATCTATTTTTTTACTTTCAACAAACAGGAATCTTAAAACGGCATATCTTTGCGTTTTTGCACTGTCTTCTATCGATTTTCAATCGTTTACAAATTTGGTTTTATTTTAAATCTTTATTTGATTCGCTTATTTGAAAGAAAAATGGTTTATACTATGGAAGAAAGAATTCAAATAGATGTTCTTTATGTTGCTGAAAGTATGTGCTATTTGATAACGGCCCGTGCTTTCAATGAGAGAAATCCGGACAAAAACGTAAGTGACGTTTATGTTAGAGATTTGATTCTAAAGTTTCAAGAAACTGGATCGTCAAAAATAAAAAAAGGACAGGGCCCAGTGTACTGAATGAAGAAATGCAGATGGAAATAATACGCCAGTTGGCATTAATCACAGGTATACCTCGAACATCTGTCAGAAGAGTATTGAAAATGCAGAAATTCCATCCCTACAAAATGAAGATTCTGCAGGAACTTGGCGACGACGATCCAGATAGAAGGATTCAGTTCTGTGAACTAATAACGGAGAAAATTCGAAGGGAACCTACACTCACTAAAAATATTTGTTTTAGTGATGAGTGCTTATTTTTTTTAAACGGAAATGCGAATAAGCAGAACTGCAGATACTGGAGCGATGAGAATCCGCATTTTGTTGTTGAAGGACACACCCAACATCCCCAAAAGCTCAATGTTTGGTGTGGAATACAAGGCGATGAAATTATAGGTCCATTTTTTATCGACGGAAATTAGAGTGGTGATGCTTATGTGGAAATGCTGAACAATTTGATAGATCCAGCCATTGTAAATGAGGTTGAAAATCAAAGAGATTTGGAAGGAAATTTAACTCTTAATGAAGACCTCTCCTACACTTTCAGCAAGATGGAGCCCCTCCGCATTATTCTATTGTCACAAGGTGATGGTTGGACAGATATTATCCAAGGCAATGGATTGGCAGAAGGGGTCCAATCGAGTAGTCGCCAAGGTCACCTGATCTCGCTTCTTTAGACTTTTTCTTGTGGGGTTACACTAACTCCATAGTCTACAAGGCAAAACCAGGTTCGTTGCAAGAATTGCAGCAGAGGATAACTGAAGCACAGAATAACTAGTTATTCTGTGACTGAAGCCATGTAGAAATATTCCGAGAGAGACTTTCCAAAAAGTGAGAGAAGAATTTGAAAATCGTTTGTATTTTTGTATGGAACAAAACGGCTGTCATTTTGAGCAATTGTTAAAATAAATTATCAGATTTCTTTCAAATTGTCACACCTACATTTCTTATCACTACTTACCAGTAATTAAGTTGAAGTCTGTATGACCATCGTTTAGCAATTTCAATTAGCTTTCCAAAGAAGTGTCACAAAAAAAAGGGGTATCGCTATCTTGAGATTAGAAGTGAGGGATAGG